CTCTAAAGTAAATATTATTTCAAATAGCCAGAAGAACCCAGGACTGAATATACCCAAACTTTTCCTAATTAATGAAAAATTCTAGACTCATTTTACCATTTCCTTAGGTCTTATTTCCTAAGACTCCTTCCCTCAAAAGATACTAAATTTTCATTTAAGCTTAATTAATCTTGAAAACCTAGGGCATGGACTTACTACTTCTGTATTTTAAAAAATGCAAAAGAACTACCATCATAGATATTAAGTCACATATCCTTAAGGATACATTATCATAAACAATCAGAAAAAAGATAAATCACCATAGAATTATCAACTAAACTATTACAGTCCAAAGCCTAGGGCCACAAAAGCATTTTTTAAGCTTAATTAGACAAATGTAAGGATTTTCAACTAAAAGATAATTTATAGGAAAAAATTAACATTTTTATAAATAGTTCTCTAATATAAAATCCCAAATGCCTCAAGATACCCATCAACACACATTAAGTTCTCCTTTTCCCTTGCCTAATACGAACCCAATAACTTTTTCTTGATTTCAATGTGTCCACAGAGATTTCCTCATCTTTACCTTATTTTATTAAAGGCTGTCAAGAAATATTTTGTAAGTATAAAACATTATAACTGTTCTCATTTTTCCAACAGTTCAGTTCTATAAATGGGCTACTTATAATAATTAAAAGAATTTTAAGTACCACTTAATCTGTAAAATAGGAAATATTTTATAAATAGCATTTTTGAATTGTTTTAATTAAATAACATTTATTTATAAAGCATAAAGCATTCCACTAACTACACCATTAAAATACTAACTCTACTGATACCTTGGTTTCTCCTTAATTTAGCAATCTCTAATAGTTCAAAATTAATCATACTGATTTTATTTCCTAGTTGTAAACTGTATTAATAATGATCTTTCAAGTTCTTTCAAACAGAAGTAAACAAGAAGTATATTTTCCACTTTCAGGGTAACAATGATTTACCAGGACTCACGGGACTGAATTGCAACTCTGTTTTACACATTATATCATTTAATCATCACAATAATCCTATAAGATGAGTTATTAAAGCTTCATTTTACAGAATAATAATTGAGGCATAAAGGGGATAGGAAATTTGTCCAGGGTCCTCCAGGGTATAAGACTGAATCCCATATCTGACAGCTATAAAAATCTAGATCTAATCTACTATAGTTTGTAAGGAAAAGTCTGTTTTGAAAACCCTTCAATTTTTAAATAATGTAAGTTTAATAAATTGATCTGTTTTTGAAAACTAAGTATATGAACTATTTTTATTCAATAACTGCATCTACTTTCTTTTGTTGATTATTATACACTAAGAATGTTGCTCTATATAATGCAAGTCAGGTACACCCAAGTAAAATAAAAAATCATGTAAAAGTCTGAAAATGAGTAATGGAAAATGAATAAAACTCCAACAATGTAATTAGTGTACCCTATACATACAGAATAGCTCATTTATTCAGTAAAAATGAAATGGGAAATATGTATAACCACGATCAAAATTGTTTTCTATAAAAAATTTTTAAGAATTCTAAAAGTAGATTCAGTCTCTAAAAAAATTAAAGCTACCATGTTTTAAGTCACATAGAAATTCTAAACCTTAATTTTTGTTTTTGTTTTTCCCAAAAGAAGGAATGGATGTGAACATCTATTGGGCACCTTCTAAGAGACAGATCCTGAGCTAATTGCTTTTTATTATTTTTTATCTCATGGAACCAGTTCTACTTCTCTGTGATGGGAACTATTACTCCAATTATTACTACATAAGAAGCAACTCAGGATCTAAATGTCGCATTGTTCTAAAAGTTGTAATAAGGATTCCTGCCCACATCTGACTCCATACTCTGCACATCATGCAGTTAACAACCATAAAACACCACACACACACACACACCATCCTTTAGGGACATAAGAATTTAAGTTAAAATCCAGGCAATTATCTTTTAAACAAGATTTGTGCCTTGCAACTCGTCTGTGGCCAGCACATAACAGGTGCCAAATAAAAGTTTACTGAATGGGATGAACACTGGTAGAAATGGGATCATCTTCATTCATTCTGTCTAAGGGAGTTAATATACAACTATTGCTTACCAAGCAACATATACAACTTTCTCCTTACAGAATAAAACACTGAATCAGGAATTGGAAGATAAGGGAATGACCACATATAAAAATTACTAATATTCTTAAAAGGTAAGCTATTGGATTAAATATTAGAAGCCTTAAAGAGAGATCCAGCATATTCAACTCAATTACCAACTCTTGTCTGACGCTGCCTTTTAAGAGTTAAACATGTTCTGCTTCCACAGTTGGCTAGTTGCTAGCAGAGACCACTGTTCATTTTTGTGTTTCCTAGAACACCAAAGACAGGACCTGACACTTAATAGCTAAAATTTTATAAAGATCTTCTACAAATTACAAAACCGGTTCAGATGACTTCACCCTAAAAGCCTTGCAAGGCAAGTATAATATCTATCTACATTTTTATAGACAATGACTTCAAAGTCCAAGGAGAGATTAAGTGCAAGATAAGTGGCCAGGTATCCTTCTATAATACCACAGCTACCAGAAAAGGCTCTCAATATATGTTAAAGGGTATTTCAAGGGATAGCTGATTCAACTTTCTTTCTAAGATTGTAAACACCATTATCTGTTGCTATGAGAAATGACTGTATTGCCACTTAAGATTGATAGCTTTGCTAGAAAACAGATACTGTCATTAGGCTTGACAAGGTTAGTTAACTTTTTTTTTTTAAGATTTTTTTTAATTTATTTATTTGAGAGAGAGGATGAGAGGAGAGAGAGAGCACATGAGAGGGGGGAGGGTCAGAGGGAGAAGCAGACTCCCTGCTGAGCAGGGAGCCCGATGAGGGACTCGATCCTGGGACTCCAGGATCATGACCTGAGCTGAAGGCAGTCGCTTAACCAACTGAGCCACCCAGGCGCCCCAAGATTAGTTAACTTAATCTAAGTTTAACTTATTAGATGGTGATTCTCAAACTTTAGTAGGACTAAGAATCAGGAAGCTTGATAAAAATAAAGATCCTTGGGCCACCATTATCGCTAGAAATTCTGATTCAAGGTACCAGGAATCTGCAAATTTTAACAAGCACTCTCAGCTGATGCTAATGAGGGTAGTCTTCAGAGACACATTAAGAACTGAACTAGACTTTTGAAACTTAATCTCCCCAATTTTTTTTAATCAAGCCAGTTTTTTACAGTTATAAATATTTAAGCAAAATCTTACAAAAACAATCCAAGGCTACTCCATCTAACAGGATAGGTCCTCAAAAATGTTTACTACACCAAACCTCCCTAGACCTCATGAGCTCTCAAGTCAGAGGTCTTTTAGGTAGTTACCCAATGTTACTCTGTTTAAGTTGATGAATTCAACTATGACCACAATGTAATTCAGTACAACATTTTTATAAGTCTTACACAAATGACTGGGTGTTAAACAGTAAAAGGGAACAGTTGAACTCTGAACCTAATAGAAATAATAATTAAATCATAATAATTTGATTAATAAAATAATCATAAATCAATAATTTTTAAATCACCAATAGTGCAAGCCCATTTAAAACTTCAAATGACCATCAAAATGTACTAATTATAGGGGCGCCTGGGTGGCTCAGTCGTTAAGCGCCTGCCTTCGGCTCGGGTCATGATTCCAGGGTCCTGGGATCAAGCCGCGCATCGGGCTCCCTGCTCGGCGGGAAGCCTCTTCTCCCTCTCCCACTCCCCCTGCTTGTGTTCCCTCTCTAGCTGTCTCTCTCTCTGTCAAATAAAAAAAAAAAAAGTACTAATTATAAAATTATGGGTGACTTTTCCCTCACTATTAAATATTTGAGTTGACACAGTACCTTTCTGTACTTCTCAAATTTTCTACAGTAAGCATATTTATTTTATTCACGATTATAAGTTTTAGAAGTACTTATTAATCCTACAACCTTCACATACATAATAGGAAAACAAGAATAACCTATAACCACATTTATCATAAACCATAAACACCCAAACACCTGACTTAAGGTATCAAACTGTAATCATCCCTTTTTTTCCACATTAATACCAGAACATATCACTTAACCTCCAAAATTTAGACCATGTCCCATTTCCATCAGGTATGTTATTAGAATAGTTAGCACGACTTTTTAAAATCCTCTTGTCATCTGTTCTGTGGATCTATTTAGGTGGAACATTTTTGTACCAAGAACTGAGGCATTAAAATATTTACACTCTCTTATTAGGGAGAAGGGGGAAAGACCATTGTAAAAATATATATATATTTTTTTATAATTGTATTTACGTAGGAAACTTGGCGCAACGATAGAATGGGGCTTTCTCCAAGCCAGACCACTCTTAGAGGCAAAATATAATGTAATAGAAAGCGGCGGGGATGAGCCACTGGCAGGTGATGAAATTTCAGCTCAAATAAAACGCAAACGGTTGTTTTCAACGCAGTCAGATCGGTGAATGACACTCGGGAGTACTGGGGGCTCTCAGAGCCCCGCACTTTCCGCACTCCAATTCTCACCAGCCCTCCCGCCCCTCCCCCCGGGACTTTGCGGGACTCGGTATGGGGCGCGGAAAAGCCTAGGCTGTTTGCAAACAGGCGTCCTCTGCCTCCCTCTAGGATGTACGTGCCGGGCCCGGGATAAGAGGCTGCGCTCGGCCCGGGCCCGGGGCCAACCTGAAGGGTGCCAGTGCCCCCGCCAACACCCCCGCTCCACACACCCGGCCGCGCCGGAACCAAGGCCAGGGCGAGGGCTTCCCGGCGGCGCGGGGCCTAGTCGCCCCCCACGCGCCTCCCGCCTCCCGGGGGACGCGGAGAAGAAGGGGTGAGGGCCCAGAGCCGCGGGGTGGGGGAGGCGGCCGCAGCAGCAGGACGCCCCGTCCGCCCGGCCCGAGGGCTGCTGCCAGGGCCCTTCCCCGCGGCGGAAGGCCAGAGAGCCCGGGACCGCGCGGCGCCACACGCACCTCGAACAGCGGCCGCCGCCGCCACAGCATGGCCGAGGGGGTCGTCCCTGAGTCGACAGTCTCCTCCGGAGGGCACCGGCGCGGCCCCAGGCGCCGCCGCGAAGCCTCCCGCTCTTGAAGGGGTTGTGGTCGCCGCTGCTACTGAGGCCCAGCGCCCGCCGAGCCTCATCGGGCTCACGGGCCGCCGCAGCCACGCGGTTCCCGGAGGAGCGCCGCTGAACCAGGCCGGGGGCGCAAGGCTGCGGCGGGACAACCGAGGTGCTGCAGGCGGGGATCCTCCGCGAAGCCTCCAGCGTCGCCGTGGCCGCTCCTGCCGCCGGTGCCGCTGGGCCACAGCGCCCCCTGGACCCCACGCCCGGCTACGGCGCCGGGACTGCGGCGGCCGCCCGGGCACGAGCCGCAGGGAACGCGGGGGAGCGTGGCCTGGGGATGGCGGGGGCCCCGCGCTAGCCGCGCTGCCCTCGGCCCGCCGCCGACAATGCCTCCCGGGAGGCGGAAGCCCCTCGATCCCCACCGACCGTGGCGGGTGTCCGCCCCACCCCCCACCCCTCAGGCCGTGAGCGCCTTTGCACCTTTTCCTTCTCTCCAGAAGGCACATGAACGTTTCTGTCACTCGGACGTTCACCTGAGAGCAGGAGGTGAGGGAATCTGCTCGTTTTCATCCCTCATGATTCGAGAAGGATCCCTTCTAGCCCTTCAGTGTGTCTGGGTGTAAGAAGAGTGACCCAGAACTAGCAGTTTTTCCATACACACACACAAAATCCTCTCCCAAAACAGATGAATTGTCTTTGACCTTAACTTTTTTTGGATCTAGAAATTTCCTACAGATACCAAATCCTTAATCCCAAACTGCCCCAAAATTAGAGGGAAAAAAAAAAAATATATATATATATACATATATATATGCTGAGCAAGAGAATAGCCAACGGGTTGTCCTGAAATTCATAAACAACTTAAAGGTAAGAAAAAAAACACCCATCTTTTCTAATTTACCCCTCCCCCACCTCTACCTCTTTCATCCCAACCCCTGTCAAATCGCAGGTAAGTCTCTAAAGGAAGGAAATCGTTACATAGCAGGGGCTGTGGAATGGTTTACAGATACCCCGTATTCGATCCCATTCAAGCTCTAGAGTGCAAACATCAGAACCAAAAGCAATAGAAACAAAAAGACCGTCGGAAGGGAAATAGGGAAAGAAATTCTCCAAATCCTCTGGACCCAATTTCCCAAGTAACAGTACATTATTTTATCATAGAGTGCTGTAGTAGAATGAGCAGGGACTTTGGTGGCTGACTGTTCCTGATATATCAATTCCAGCTCTGTCATGTTTAGCTTTATGACCCTGGGCAAGTTATATAATATTTCTGAACCTGGGTTTTCTAATCCCTGCCTTGCTGGTTGTTGTGAAAATTGGAAATGATTTATGTGAAGGAACTGGCCCAGAGAAGGTAGTCAATGTTAGTTCCAATTATTGTTGGTTCCAAAACACCCTCTCCCTCTTTCTTAGATTCAAGATTGTTCCCATCTGTTTTTGTTCTTTCTCAATCTCTGTGTGTAAATATATCCCTATCAAAAGATGAGTGCACCAAAAAGGGAGGGGGGAAGATGGTGCATTGTTCTTTGTCATCCCTGGTCTGGGTAAAGTTTTCCTAAATTTCACTAATGGATTTATATAACATCCCTCCACTGAGGAAAAATAGAGCTTAATACACTGGATGCTATAATATTCTATTGCATAGCCGATTTTAGCATAAAGGTAGTATATTTTTCTGTACATAAAAATTACAAGGCAATCTCACCTTACCTTGGGTTATGTCCTAATAATAATAAATCTTTATTTATTATTTTTTTAAGATTTTATTTATTTATTTGACGGAGAGAGACACAGCGAGAGAGGGAACACAAGCGGGGGTGGGGGCGGAGAGGGAGAAGCAGACTCCCCGCTGAGCAGGTAGCCAGATGGGAGGCTTGATCCCAGAACCCTGGGATCATGACCTGAGCCAAAGGCAGACACTTAACGACTGAGCCACCCAGGCGCCCCTAATAATAATAAATCTTAACGAGAAAATTATATAAGATCTCTGGAAACTTTCAAATAATAATTTAGCAGCCACCTTAGAGAAAATATAACCTTACAGCTCTCTTCCAATCAATGAGCTGTTCCTGTTCCTGTACAATCCGGACTGTGCCTTCACCACCTACTTCTGAGTCACATTACCAAAAAAAAAAAAAAAAAAATCACTATCCCCTTTTTATAACAAGAGAAACTGGGGTTCAGAGAAACTATGATTCATCCTTATAACAACTCTATGAATTAAGTACTCTACTACCACCATTTTACATGTGAAATACATCCAACCTAGGGGAAAGCTGGAAGTGGAAGTAGACCCTGAGATTCTCTCAGTCTCCCATCTGATGCCCTAACAGTCCTTTTTGCAATATTTAGAAAATGCTATAAGAGTAAGTTACTAAAAATTTTCAATCTAGAGAAATGGGCCCTTTCATTTAGATTAGTTTGGCAGCCCAACATTAGCAGTGCTTTCAAAGCCTGGTTCACTACCACCACAGGAAATCTGCATTTGTTTATGCATAATCATGCTACCCAGGGTGTAGCTACTACATGAAGATGATTCATTTGTTCCCAAGACCAGTTTCCTCTTGCTTCACACTTTCTCTCCTTCTATTCAAATATGTTGCTGAAAGAGACTATCTTTATCATCACTACCACTTCCTGATCATAGTAGTCTACTGTAAATAATTTCATCTATAATTTCATTCCATCATTCAACTCTTCCTACCCAGTTTGCTCTCTGCTCCTGAAATATCACATCTGTTTTCCCCTCCTCTACTATAAATCTTTTTCATTTTAATCTTTTACCTGCTGTCAGTTGATTTGGTTACCGCACTCTCAATTTTGCATTGATTTCCACAACTATACAGTGACTCTAAAATACCTCTTTATTCCCAATCTGATAGACCTTTCCATTTTCATTTTTATGCCATATACATTCTGTAGAAAGCCAGTATTCTAAGAATAGTTTCTTCACGTGAGTTTAAGCTGTAGCACCCCGATCAAAATTTTCTTTGCCTTTAAAATTTGTTCTTAAAAATTGAGGCCTTGGAGCACCTGGCCGGCTCAGTTAGAGAAGCATGCGACTCTTGATCTCAGTGTCCTGAGTTTAAGCGCCATGTTGGGTGTAGAGATTACTAAAATAAATAAATAAATAAACTTTAAAAAAAAAATCAGGCCTTTTACTTGTCACTTATACCTCAATAAAATGGAGGGAAATGAGGCCAAAAAGATATCTATTTCCTGGCTTTGTGAAAGGCAGAGGAGTCATCCTTAACTCTCGTGTTTCCGTCATGGACAATTGGTCACTGAGTCTAATAAATTCTACTTCTTGCTGTTATTGAAATTTCTCTCTTGGGGCGCCTGGGTGTCTCAGTCGGTTAAGCGGCTGCCTTCCGCTCAGGTCATGATCCCTGGGTCCTGGGATCGAGCCCCACGTCCGGCTCCCTGCTCAGTGGAGAGCCTTCTTCTCCCTCTCTCTCTGCCTGCCTCTCTGCCTACTTGTGCTTTCTCTCTCTGTGTCAAATAAATAAATAAAATCTTTAAAAAAAAAAAAAGAAATTTCTCTCCAACTCCACTGCCACCCACTTTGGTCTAGGGTATATGGTTAATAAATTATATGTGCAGTGAATGAAAAGGAGGAAAGAGGAATGAATGAATATTATATTTGTGTATGAGTATATATATTGTATAAGCGTTTGTTTAAAAGAAGGCACAAAACCTCTTTCATGTTCCCAATAATCCTTGTGCTTCCCAATTTATAGCACTTACTACACTGTCAATCTCTGTTTACTTATATGTCTCTCCTATCAGATTTTGAGCCCTGTGAGCCAGGTTCAGTGTTTGATTCTTCTCTGTGTCCCCACAACCAGTCTCGGCATAGAGTACAGCTTAGAGAATGTTAAACTGAACTAGGCTGGTTTAGCCTGATGTGCATCAAGCTAGTGCATTCCACACATTCAGTGACTTTTTAGGTCTTTCTCTTTAACTTTCAGGGCCCACCAAAGAGTAAGACTCCCCTCCAACAGGTGATTGCCCTGCAGCCCAGAACTGCCCCCAGCCTGCTGTCGCTGGGTTCCTCCACACCCCTCTGAAATCACCAGCCACAGCCAGGAGTCAAACCCAGAATTCACAATGTTACCAAACTAGCCCTAGAGCAGACCATGAGTCAGTAAAGCAGCACAAACTTAAAAACGGTATTGGGGACGTTTGGGAGCTTGTTTGGTCAATTGAATCATTTAAAAAAGAACAAAGCAATTCCCATTTTGGGAATCAAATATAAGTAGGTGATTAAATATGTGAACAAAGATATATGCAAAAAGATGTTTATTATGTATTTTATTGTAGTTTAAAACAAAAATAAAAGGAAAACTGTAAATGAGTTAAATGAATTATAGTATACTCAAAGAAATACTATTCATTAATAATTGTGTTTTTAAAGAATTTTAAATGACATTGAAAACTGCTCATGATGGGATGCCTGGGTGGTTCACTAGGTTAAGCAGCTGCCTTCGGCCCGGGTCATGATCCCAGGGTCCTGGGATCGAGTCCCACATCGGGCTCCTTGCTCAGCAGGGAGCCTGCTTCTCCCTCTCTCTCCCTCTGCTTGTGCTCTGTCAAATAAATAAAATCTTTAAAAAAAAAAAAGAAAACTCACGATTCAATATCAAATTAAGAAAAACAGTGTTAAGGGGCATCTGGGTGGCTCAGTCAGTTAAGCATCTGCCTTCGGCTCAGCTCATGATTCTGGGATCGAACCCCATATCAGGCTCCTTGCTTAGCGGGGAGCCTACTTCTCCCTCTGCCCCCCACTGCGTGTGCTCTCTCAGTTTCTCTCGTTCTCATTCTCTCTCAAATAAATAAGTAAAATCTTTGAAAAGAAAAGAAAAACAGTGTTAAGTAAAAAAGGCTAGTGTATGATCCCAATTATGTTTTTATATATTTATTTAGAAGGAAATAGTTGAAAATGTCATAATTTATGAGTTTTTTTTTAACTTTTTTAAAAAAATAATTTCAGGGCCCCAGCCTGGCTCAGTTGGTAGAGCATGCAATTCTTGGTCTTGGGGTCAGGAGTTCAAGCCCCATGTTGGGTGTAGAGATTACTTAAAAAAATTTTTTTTTAAATCTTAAAAAGAAAAATTTAAAAAAATAATTTCAAAATATAATTTCAGATGTAAAGAAAAGTTGCAGAAATACTACAAAAAAATCCTATGTATCTCTCACCCATATC